CCAAAAAACCAGTCAAACCAGTCACAACTGTCTCAAGCCAATGGCAGGTATCAGAAATTTTAGAAAAGGTATATCACCTTCTTAATTAATAACCAGTAACCATTTTGATACCTGAATCTGGCTTCACATTACTTCTTGTAATAGTGTTTTTTTCTCTCTTTATTGCAGGGAAAAGATTCTTGAAAACATAGTTAGCTCTGCCAAAATCATTCAGGAAAATGAAGCTATCAAAAGGCAAAGCTAGATGATGCAAAATCAAGACAAGTAAGTTAAATTGTTAAAAGTTCATCATGATCTCACTACATGACTGAAACTCTTTAAACCTTATCATTGATTTTAATGTGTTGAGACTGCAGTGAAACAAGTGTTAAAAACAACACTACCAATCTGATTCAGGAAAATCAAAGCAATCAAAAAGGCAACGATGGAAAAAGCCTCTTCTTGCACTGTAAGTGATCTCAAAATCCTATGTTTTTCCAAACTTTGTTATTGCGTAGACTGTAGGAATCTCTAAGAATAAGGAATTTCGTCCTTTAATTGTGATTTTTATTGAGTTTCAACGTTTTAAGATTGATAATATGTTTAATTGGTTTTGAGGAATGGATCAAAAGAGCGAATTGATAAACTACTGAGGTACTCTCTTGACTCCTTTTAACTTTTCTAATTTTTTTTTCATTTAGGGGTCAAAAGAATTAGGTGTTCGTATTCCAACAAGGACGATGACTCTGATTTTTTCAAAAGAAGTCAATTCAGAACAAAAACGGTCACCGGTGTATCCTTTCAATAACAACATCAAACTGATCGGTTAAAAAGTATAGATCTGTTGTCTTGTCCGCTTCCTCTAATTTTTTGTTGTTTCAATTTAAGATAGGAATGTGAGTGAGATTTTGTTTTCACTTAGGCTATTGTTTTAACGAAGCTTCTTCTAATTTAATATTTTTGTGCAGATCGGAGATATGCTAGATTTTGAAGAATGAAGAAGATTCAGAACCAAACAAAAACAAACTTCCCTTACGGTAACAAAGCAGAGTTTTTTTCATTGTTTTCTTTGTTGCCTCTCTAGATGATGGAGATATATATATGGTTTACTCTTTCTTCGCATGCATCATTTTAAGGATGACCGGCCCAAGTCAACAACAACAACAACAACTATGGGGAAACCATTTGTAAGTAAACACTTATTGAGATCCTGATCTTGATTTTATTTCTTTCTGTTTCAAGTTTTGTCCCTTAACTTTTAATAATCTCTTTTTCTTTTTCTTTTGTGTGTTATATTTTATCACCCATTCTTCTCTTTTCTAGTTTCAGAATCCAAGCATTGTTGATGAATATTATCTGGTGAAAGTATTGTTTTCGTGTCTTTGCAAGTGACGGATGTTCAGAGGACGTCGTCTTCATGGCTCTGTACGTCATCCCAAAATTCCTATATGCCCTTCTTTACTTTGTCCTGTTTCAAATTTATTTTTCCCTCAATCAAGAATCCTTTTTTTTCCTTCTGAACAACAAGAATCTACTAAAGTGGAACTCGACAAGGGACCAGATTTTAGATCAAAACTTGTGAACAAAAAGGTACTTGTCGCTGATGTACAATTCTCTTCCACAAATTATACACAATTGATGTACTCTCTGATTCATTTTAACTCTTCTCTTATCTTTCCTTTTTTTGATTAACTTCCAGAATGGTGTTGTTTTCCAACCGACCTAAGTAACATTGACAAGGAATTAACAGCTGTTTTCTCAAGGAGATTGGTCAATGGACTCTAAGAAGCTGCAAAGTACTAGAAAAATGGTTAATTTGATGAGGATCCGTTTGCACTCAGGCATAAAAAAAACAGTCTCAATTGTCTCTTGCCAATGGCAGTCAACAGAAAATTGAAAAGGTAGCTCATATGATTATTAATAACCATTCTCATACTTAAATCTGGTTTCATGATTCTCTTGTAATAGTGTTTTTTTTTGTGTGTGCGTTTATTACTTCAGAGAAAAGAGTGTTGAAAACATAGCTAACTCTACCAAACTCGTTTAGAGAAATAAAGCTATCAAAAGGCAAAACTAGATGATGCAAAATCAAGACATGTAAGCTAAATTGTTAAAAATTCAGCATGATCTCGGCTGCATGAATGAAACGCTTGCGTCCTCACTCCTCATCATTGATTTTTTTTTTTTTGAAATAAAATGTTAAATTATATTCAAAATAAAAATTTACGTTTTTACAACAAGTGCAACGTTATTTTTAAAATATACTTAAAAAAGATTACAATTCCCTAGAGCAAATCTTAATCAACTGATTATGAACGTGCTTGAAGCCATCTTTGGAACCCCTCGTCATATCTTCGATCACCCGATCTTCGAATTGTTTGGAGCTGATTTTTAACTTGTCTATCAACCCAGCTTATAATTGTTGCAGTCGTATGAGAAGCATCTCCATGGAGACGTCCATTTCGTTCTCTCCATATTGTGTAGACAACAGTTTGAAACACATATCGTAAAAGAAAAGCATCAATATGATCCTTGTGAGGCAAAGAGATGAAAGCTAAGAGCATTGACCAATTAGTCGAATAATGAGTATGGAAAAGTACCTTTGCAGTCGCCTCCCACACCTCTGCAGCATAAGAGCATTCGAAGAACAAATGATCCCTGCTTTCCAAGTGAGAGAAACAGAGCATACAAGTACCCGCTGAATTGCCATTCCATGTAGCCATTTGAGCAGCCGTGGGAAGTCTATCTTGAGCTGCTAGCCACACACAGAAGCTATACTTTGGAGTGTCGTGAGCAAACCACACCCCCTTAGACCAACTGACTAAACTCCCTGTTGTTCTAATATGATTCCAAGTCTCCTTTGTTGAAAACCGGGGCTTGAAGTCACCATTTTTTCCTCGCCAAACCACAGCAACAGCCATGGCGCCTCTGTTTTGGAAAGAGAGGTTTAGTTCTTCTTCGATTGACAAAAGATGGCCAACCCGATGTCTCCGTCTGCGCCGAGTCCAAGCTTCCGCGACTGTGCTTCCTTTACCAATTCCCATATCAATAAACCCTCGTTCTCCCGTAATGTCAACTAGATAACCCAGCCTCGACCAATTATCGTACCAAAAAGACGTTCTCTGCCCATTCCTCACTTGTATCTTACACAAATCCTTTGCTACATGTCGATATTTTAACAACTTTCTCCAAATCCAAGATCCTCATCATTGATTTTAATATCTTGATTACGTTCTTTAATGTGTTGGTTCTTTGACTGCAGGGATACAAGTGTTAAAAAGAACACTACCAATCTGATTCAGGAAAACCAAAGCGATCAAAGAGGCAAAAGCTAGATTATGACCTAACAATGGAAAATGCCTCCTCTTGCTCTGTAAGTGGTCTCAAATCCTATGTTTTCTAAAATTAAGGATTGCGTAAGACTGTATCTCTAAATTCAACATATTTTATCTTCTTGTTCTTTTAACAGTAAATCCTGGAGCCATATTGTTTCAAAATCAGCAAGCTTCACCCTAGCTCCAGCTTTTTCCTGCACCACATCTGCCAGAATTTCAGGTATACCCTCTGTCAGACATTATCATCACTTTAGAATAGACTCATAGCCTAATGAATCTGTTTGATTAATGTACAAGGATCTCACTTTCTTATTGTTGCAGGAATTTCATTGTCAAACAAAGACATCCTCAGTAGCTTCAACGAAAGTGTCTTAAGTGGAGGTGTGACGATTAGTGTAAAGAAAATATTGTTAGCACTTAGCATTAAAGGGGGCATTAAACTAAATAATCAGTATTTATTTTTATTAGAGAAATCAAGCTTTGTTAATTAATGTAAAAAGTTATGTTTTGTAAATTGTAACTTTATAGATCCTAATTACTCTAAAAAATGTTTTAACTTTTTTTATAAAAACACTTATAATTATTTTAGCATATTAGAAAAGGAAAGCCCATGGCTTAACAACCAACAAAAAGCCCACTAATCTAAGCTGTGCGTTTTGATTAAGTAATTTCATTTTTCTTTTGCGACATATTTCCTCTTTTTTGGTAATGACATATTTCCTTTTTTCTTATAACACAAAACGTTAAGCTTCCGCGACTGTGCTTCCTTTACCAATTCCCATATCAATAAACCCTCGTTCTCCCGTAATACCAAATTTAACAATTTCCATTTTTCTTTATAACGTTAATTACTAAACGTAAGAATTTCCTTTCCTC